TATATATGTATATAATATATATGTATGTGTATATAGTATATATATGTATATAATATATGTAACACACATATAATATATAATTTAACTACAAATATAATTTATATTACATTTAATATAATATTATTAGTATATAATAATTTAGTATATATAATATAATTTTAAATTATAAGTTTTAGTATATAGTATTAGTATATAACATAATTTATACTACAAATATTTATGTATATAATATAAGTTACACATAAATATTTGTGCGATAATATTTGCTGGTTTTACGTGAAAATTAAATGCTACAGAGGAATAATTAAACTATTGTTAAAGTAAGACTATTATTAATATTCTACGTTTATTATGACGAAAAATGGAGCCTAATTTGTAATAAAATCGTCAATGAGATTTACAGATAAATAGAGTTTTTAAATATTCAATCTTATGCTGTTCGTTTCTGACATGTAAATAGGAGAACGGGGAAAATAGAATTCGTATATAAATGAATAGGCGACAGGATGTTGAACGTGCCACCACAAATGGTTAGCATAAATTTCATTTGAGAAGGAGGTACAGGGAGCATCTGTTGGAAATCGATCAGACGCGCACAACCGGTGCAAAGACATTTTTAGGGTGGTCACCTGATAACTCGGCGGTGGCGTTCTAAATTGAAATTCCGGATAAATCATGGCGGCGTACGGATGAATTGGCCTCGCCGGCGGGATCCTGCTCGAGATCCCCGTGAAACCAAAGAAACTGCCACAATTTTCTCGACTGGTCACTCGCCACGCTACAGCGCTCACAGTTACCAGAACCACTCCTATACCTGTAACAGAGAGACACACACACCGTGTCAAAACATACGTTTATTTCCTTCGAGAGTCGAACGTTTGTTAAATTGCATACTGAAATGCGAAGTAACGATAACGATATTCGGTAACATTAGCAGTGAAAATTTAAATTGAATTCAGTACTGCTCGATTATATATTTTCCATTTGAAATCTAATCGTTAACTATTTATAAGTATGCTAAATAAATAAAATAAAATATTGATGAATATATTACTTTATTGATAAGTAAATGAAATTATATACTTTGCATTTAAAATCTAGTCGTCAGTCGCAAAGTTTCATAACTAGACTAGTCTAGTAACTTTGCAACTATTTATAACTACGATAAATAAATAAAATAAAATACTTATCGCACGGTATAATTGAGTTTGTTGATTATAAATCGATTAAAATGAAACATGGCACGGACCGCAAACGAATTAGAATGTTAAGAGAACGAGCGATCTAGAGAAATTGCGATATAAACCAGTGAAAAGTCGACTGAAATGCAAGGACAGCCAGAGCCAAGATGACGTCGATGGTTAAGCATCGTCGCGTGTTCTCACGAGCTGGGGGCATACGAGAGAATAGTGAGAGCTGAAGAAAATATCCTTCTCCGAGGAGGAGGAGGAGGATCCAAAGCTTTCGCGGTTCCACACCCATCCGCGCTTCTCTCTCGCGGCCACCGACATCTTCTCCACTCTTTTCGTCTCTTAATCCTTGTAATTTTCTAACCGAACCCTGTAATCTCCTTTCACCCCGCTCGACTTCGTTCCGCGCACAGCTACTCGTACCTTTTGCTTTATTTGCACTTTAAATTCTCTTCTCTTTTCATCGTACGTGGCTTCCAGGCATTTGCTTTTTTAATTAGACACGCCGCGTTACACCGTTCGTGATCGATTTGCGACCGAAACGTGCGTAATATTTTCAACGATTTAAGAATTTCTCCGGTCCGATCGAGGAATTTATGTGATAATATCATGCATGCAGGTAGTTCAATAAGATCCTGAATAAATACTGAAGTTAGCTATACATCCGTATAAATACTGAAGTTAGCTGCGTGAAGTTGGCTATATTTATCTCGTTCCCGACGACCTCTGTCAAACTTCATCGAGTTTCTTCTTGCAAACACGTTGGACACGTTTCGACTTCTATTGCGTTTTGTGCGAGAAAACATTGTTGCGCTGGCGCGTAACGCGAAAAAATTCAGCACGACTCGATATCCACTTAATAAACCCATTGGATTTAACGGTTCGTTAATGCCATTGAATCGAAGAAAGTAAGCTAGCTATTTTCATAGCCCGGGCATTATCGTGTGAAATTGGTTCAACACTTTCACAACGGGAAATCTAGAGATATCCAGAATATCTTTTTGTACGAAATTTTGGACAGGTTAATTTTGTCACGTTTTGTAATTTATACATTGTTAGGAGTTGAAAATTCTCTTTTTCGTGATTTTGATGTTCTTCTGGAATTTAGTTACAGTTCAAATTAATTATAGTGAGCTATACGTAAAAGAATTAAAAAGACACCAGACAGAATTCTTTAACTAATTGTATATAATAATTATAACTTTTTAGCTTTTTCCATGGTTTGTAATATTAATACTTTAATTGATTTTCCATTGGCCATTTTTTTCTCTTTGGGCAACTCTCGTGGACTTTTCTCCTTGAAATAATTATACGTAACAGGTATAAATATTTTCGTTAATTTCCCATGGAAAAAACAAATATTTTCGTGTAATTTTAAAAAGAAAGAATCTTTCTCTCTAAAGACTTTTGTTATCAGAAATCTTAATGTTAAACTTAACCTCTTGCGCTGCAATGGCCTGCCAAGCACGTCGACAATTGTTCCAAAATTGCAATATTTTCTCAGTTTTAAGTGTATTTAAATATAACCCAGGCAAGGCAAATAATAAATTTATTACTTCTTAGTAATAATTTCTATCCAGTGATATCATACCGACGGTAGTTCAAAAAGAAAGCGACGAATTATTGTATACGGTTTGGTCACTCGTTATGGTCCGCGAATCAGTTGCCAGCGCAGGAGAGGTTAATATTAAAAAAAGGTTATGAATTGAAAAGAAAAGTTTTTAAAAGAAACTTCCTCTCCAGAAAGTTGGAGATCTTAATTATGAACTCACAAATCTCATTGCAATGAAAATTTAATCTTCAAACGGGTAACCTAATAGACTGTTGATTCGTTTATCGGTTTCGACCGGGGAATTCTGAATTTCGTGTTCCGTGAATCTCACACGGTGCCTCCGCGTGTAGGCGTACGATCCCTGTAGGTTAGCGCGTTCTCCCATTGTGAGAGGCATTCTATGCGGGTCGCAGGTTACATGCCCACGTTTAGAAAGTAACCAGTTGCCAGCACGGTTCTCCCTTCTTTCGTATAGCGCCACGATCGGCCGATCTGGCCGAGCAACGGGCCCCATTGCGGTTTTCTCACTGCTCCGTATTTCATAACTTCTTTCCTTCAATGCTCAGTGTCTCTTCGACGTATTTTTTTCTTTCTTTCTCTCTTTTTTCTCTCTCTTCATTCTCCCATTTTTCGTCCTCAACTAATCGTTTCAACGACGTCATTCCGCTACCGTGGAATTTCTCTCGGCCAGTTTGTTTTCGATCCGATTTCGAAATTTATTTCGTTAGATGCACAGATGAAAGTATGAAATATACGAGGTACTGAGGGAGTTTGTTTGCTCGAACGTTATCGATCAATTAATATACATCGAAAATATTTTTCAAGCTAATGGATGTTTGATGTACGGTGATGGTTATAGGTATTAGCACACCTGGTGGTATTTGGTACGAGGTGCTTTTCACTCTGCTTTTCTCTCTCATTTCATTCGTATCATTATTTGCTTTGTAACGTTTGTCTTTAAGATATTGAATAAAGTGAAAGCTCGAATTTTCTAATAGATATAACCAATAAATGTCCAATCATGCTACGTCTGATCAGAAATAGCCTAAGGCCTGAAGTATTAAAAAAAAAGGTATGATTCTATTCATCTGATGCTCTTTCAACGTACATACTTTCAACAAAAGTTAACAACATTAATTTACGATCCTCCTCAATTCAATTTTTATTTTGAAATACTCTTTTGCACTGTGAGTGATTTGCCAAATAAAATTTTATGTTCTCCATGATGAATCGATTCACGTCTTCTTATTATTGCCTTCCATCAATATTATCATTATTTCATCAAATATTATTTCGGCTTAACAAGCATTTTTATCATAAGCGTGAAGTTATTCACTTTTGCTTTTACCACGAGATGAACTTCCTTCTTCCAGGCGTCTTATGCAAAGCACTGAGAATATTCCGTAATGAGTATAATAATATTCGATTCATTTTATGCGCTTCACTCCCAAGGAGAACTTTTCTCTATTGTAAACAATCTGTCTTTTATTGGGAAATGTTCCTGCGCCTATTCAATCTTCACATTTGAAATGAGATTTGAA